GGGCATGCAAAGGCTGGGGGTGTGCAAAGGGCTCAGTGATGTGCAAAAGGACTGGGGGTGTGCAAAGGGTTGCTAATGTTTCCATGACCATAGGCAGCTCCCAGTGTGGAGGATGGGCCGCATTTCCAGGTGCTCCCAGGGCCCAGGTGCCCCTCCCAACCAGGTGAGCATGCGCCCTCTTTCACCAGAACAACCCACTCACAGTCAACAGAGCATGACTCGTATTTCTTTTTTTTTTTTCTTTTTTTTATATATATTTTTTTATTGATTTTTCACAGAGAGGAAGGGAGAGAGATAGAGAGCTAGAAAGATCGATGAGAGAGAAACATGGATCAGCTGCCTCCTGCACACCCCCTACTGGGGATGTGCCCGCAACCCAGGTACATGCCCTTGACCGGAATCGAACCCGGGACCCCCCAGTCCGCAGGCCAACGCTCCATTCACTGAGCCAAACCGGTTTCGGCCATGACTCGTATTTCTTACAACCCTAGCTGGTCCCCAGGGCTCTGCTTTTGCCCCATCAGAAGGCCGGGTCCAGAGATATTGTGCCATCAGCTGGCATCGGCGGGGCATCTGAGGCTCTCGTAGCTCAGTCTCTGCCAAAGCTTAGTCCAGCCCCGGCTCTGTCCCTGCCCGGCTGGCTCAGCCTCCGTTCCTGGCTCAGAGTCACAGAGAGAAGCCACGAATGAATGAATGAATGAATGGGCGACCCAGTGCTACCCAGCGGGGCCTTTGTTCAGCTTTGATTATATGACCTTGGGCTTGTGAGAGAGGCCTTCTGTCAGACTAACCCACCTCCTTCCTAACCCTTCGCAGGCCGGTGCTGGTTGCCCACGTCACTGGTCCATTCCCTTTAATTGAACAGTCTTGGGAGACATGGACCGTCTGTGTAGCCGGTCGCCCATCGGAGGGCACCAGAGCTGGTTCCAGTTCTCAGCTGGCATCCAGAAAGCCGCCAGGAACATTGGTGGCCAGGTTTTTATGTGAACAGAAGGTTTCATTCACTGGGGTGAATGGCCAGGAGTGCAAATGCTGAGTCATAGAGTCGCTGCATGTTAAGTTTCGGGAAAAATTGCCTAACCTTTTCTAGAGCGGCTCTGTCCTTGTCCGTTCCCAGGAGCCGCCTGGTCGGCATTGGGCGTGAGCACGGCGTGTGAGCCATCCTGGCGGTCTCTTCATTTGCATCGCTCAAGGTTAATGATGCTGAACATCCTGCCCTGCGCTTCTGCGCCACTGTAAGATGTCTGCCCATTTTCTAAGGACATGGTTGGCATTTGGGCTGTCGAGATTTGAGATTGCTGTGGGGAATATGTGGTTGGCAACTCTCTTCTCCCTGGCTGTCGCTTGTCTTTTCATCTTCTTCAGGTGGCCTTTTGCACAAGGAAATCTTTTTCATTGTGATCAGATAAAATGGTAGCAGAGTGCCATGCTGGGTCTCTCTGAGCCAGTCTTGTTTTGTTCCCACGGCCTTCAGGCTAATGGCTTCAGCTTTTACCAAACCAGCCCCACCCCGGTCCCTTGATTTAAAAGCAGCCTAAACGTTTGTGTGTGCTCCTTTAAGATGGATTTGAGGAGCCTCTGAGGCCCCCCCCCCCACCTTCTGGATTAGGTGTCTTCTCCATCAAACCCTTTCTTACTGCAAACTCTGACATTTTGAATACTGGCCTTTCTGAAGTGTCGTGCACACAAATTTTGGGGCTGGTAACAGAATTTGCCCATTTTTCCTTTTCTGCATAGTCCTATGGGTGTCAAGTCCAAGAACTCTTTGCCTAGCCCTAGATCCCAAAGACTTCCTATTTTTTCCCTGAGTTTTATAGCTTCATATTTTACATTTAATTCCAAGATTCACTTTGCATTAACTTTTGCATAAGATGTGAGGTTTAGGGTGAGGTTCATTTTTTTTTTTTTTGGCCTATGGATGTCCCTTTACTCCAGCAACATCTGTTGAAAAGGCTTCCACTTATACGTGGCATCTAATGGACAAAATACACTAACAAACAAAATAGAAACAGAGCCATCGATACAGAAAACAGAGAGGAGGGGGGTTAGGGGCTGGGTGATAAAGGTGAAGAGATTAAGAAAAAAAAACCCCACAAAACTCATAGGCACAGACAGCAGTATGGTGATCACCAGAGGGGAAAGGCGGTGGGGGCGGTAGGAGAGGGTGAAGGGGGGATAAATGGTGATGGAAGGAGACGACTTGGGGTGGTGAACACACACTACAATACACAGATGATGTGTTATAGAATTGTACACCTGAAGCCTATATAATTTATTAACCAATGTCACCCCAATAAATTCCATAGAAAAAGAAAGAAAGAGCTATCATTCATTAAAATGCTTTTGCAATTTATTAAAAAAATATATTTTTTTATTGATTTCAGAGAGGGAGTGGGAGAGAGAGGGATAGAAACATCAATGATGAGGGAGAATCATGGATTGCTGCCTCCTGTGCACCCCCTGCTGGGGATCGAGCCTGCAACCCAGGTATGGGCCCTTGACTGGAATCGAATTGTGACCTCCTGGTTCATGGGTGAATGCTCAACCACTGAGCCACACCGGCCGGGCTGCTTTTGCAATTTTGTCAGAAATTGGCTGAGCCTGTTCATGTGGGTCTATTTGTGTATTCTCCATTCTGTTCATTGGTCTCTTTCTGTGTTTCTGTCTCTTCGACAATACCACCGTGTCTTGATGACTGTAACTATGTAGACTTAAATGTCGCCTAGAGTGACTCTTCCCACTTTCTTCTTCTTTGTCGAGATCAGTTGAGCGACTCCAGGGCCCGCGCCCTTCTGTGTAAATTGTAAAGTGAGTTTGTGTCTACAAAGAACTTTGCTGAGTTCGTGGTACAGATCCTCAATCCTTTCCTGATACGGAAGTCTTAGCTCCAGAAAGTTCCCAGAGGTAAGGCTTCGCGTCTCAGGGAAGTTTACTCTGGGTCTGGAGCTGAGAGACCCGGATTCAAATCTGGAATCGTGTAGCCATAGTGGGTTTTTCCTTCATGTTACTGGTGCTTTAATAATAGGTGTCACTGTGAGGCACAAGAGGTCATTCAAAGGGTGCTCATGATTAGTCATTAACTTATTAAATGAAACAGCCGTTACCTGTGGGCCTC